CTAATTCTGCATATATATATAACATTGGACTGGTAGTGTTCAATGTTATACACACATTTTCTCTTAAAACCGTAATAACGCATGTGCAATAACATTTTTATGACCCACAACATGTACAATCTGTAAATTATATGCTTGTAACATAAGACTCCAACAAAATAGTTTCATATTCTTGTCTTTAAATCTTTCTAAAAAGGTGAGAGGGCTGTGGTCAGTATACACAATTGTCTCCAATACACCATTTGTAACATAAACTTTAAAATGTTGCAAGGCCAGTGCCAAACTTAATAACTCTTTTTCAACGGTGAAATATTTTCTCTGGTGGACATTGAGATTCTCTGAAAAATAACTGATTGGCCTTTCAATTCTACAATCATCCTCCTGCATCAACATATCTCCAGCCATTACATTGCTTGTGTCGTTAACAACTTTAAAGGGTGAGGTGTGGCTAAAACTGGTGCAGTGTTTAACACAGGTTTTAATTTCTCAAATGCCTCCTCTGGCATTGTTCTGCCCACTGAAATTTTGTGTTCTTCTTTAGCAAATCCGTCTGCGATGCCACCATGTTACAAACTTCCGGTGGAATCTGCTCAGTCTCAAAAATTGTAGCACCTCTTTCTTTCAGGATGGTCTTGGAAATTCCTCTATGGTCCTTGTCTTCACATTCCTCAGTGTCATCCTTCCATGTCCGATGTTATGTCCCAAGAACATCACTTCTGCCTTCGCGGATTCAGTTTTTTTCTAAATTTATGACCTTGTCTAGCTAATTCTCCTACTCTGTTTAATCTTTCTCTCTCCAACTGTGATATCTCTGACTTCAGACAGATCAACTTTCCCTTAAATAATTATAATATCCTTCTTACTTCGTGTCTGAAAATCAATTGAAATGTAGTAAACTGAGTTGACTCATTTGTAGCATCTCTAATGGCAAGCAATATAAATTGGATACCCTTATCCGAATCGTTTGGCCAATCCTAGCAATAAGCCCTCAGCATGATCTTTAGGGCCTACATGCTCCCATTCCAATGCTCCCTGGGATTCAGGAAGGTACACACTTGATTTAAAGTGTTAGGAATGCCTCAACTATCCATGACCTCCTTAAATAGTTTGGCAATAAAATTGGATCCTTGGTCTGACTGAATCTCCCAGGGTAGGCCATAACGGGTAAAGAAAGCAAGCAAGTCGAAGTCCTCCACAACATTTTTTGCCTTCACCTTCCATAATGGAATTGCCTCCAGAAATCTGGTAGACAAATCTATTAGGGTTAGCAAATACTGGTTCCCACTTTTGGTTTTAGGGAGGGGACCTAACAAATCAATCATAACCCATGTGAAACGTTCTTCAAATGCAGTAGTTGGCATCAAAGGTGCTGGTTTCATTTACTGTCAATAGCTTTCCTACCATTTGACAAGTATGACAGGTACAGTAAAATTCAGCGGCATCCTTATGTTATCCAGGTCAAGAGAAATGCTTTTGTATCTTAAACTGAGCCTTCCTCAATCCTAGATGACCTCCTACAGGTAATTGGTGTGCTACCCGCAATATTTCCTGTCTATATGCTACCTGGAACACAGTCTGGTGAACATCCACCCATTCCTCCACTGCACCAACCTGCTGAGGTCTCCATTTCCGCCTTAGGATTCTCTCCTTAATATAATAACACCCGGGAATATATTCTGATTCCTTTTCTGAGTAGGATTTACGATACAAATCTTTTACTGTCTCATATTTTTGTTGTAACTCCATTAAACTTTCAGAACTAAACACCTCTGCCTGATCCTCTACCTGTTCAGGTTTTTCCTTTACCATTTCATCAAACAGCGTGTTAGCTAACTGGACCTCAACTCCTTTGTTTACCCTTTAATTTTTCCTTCTTGCTTTAACTTACGACTGTGGAATCTTGTCACCACACAGTCTAGAAAAATTCCAGGGTATTTTTCTTTTAACTCCTCAGTTCCCTTGTTTTCCTTCAACTTCTCCACTGCAAGCAGTGTGTCATTCCCACCTTTCATCCTGTTAGGTCGTTTCCAAACTGTTCCTGGAATAGACACTCTATCAATCACTCCCACTGTCACTTCCCCAGTCTTGATTGGACTTTCCAGTCTTATTTTACACAGGGGAACGCTAAATCTCTCTCCATTTATTCCACAGATTATCACTCTCTCAAGTAACATTTCAGAAGGAATACAAATACTTTAATCTCTTACCATTAGAGATTGACCAGCTCCTGTATCTCTCAATATTTTAACTTTACCATCTCCCCCTGTTCTCCCTGAGTAAACCTTACCCACAGAGGTGAAGTCTTTGCAGAGATTGGGCACCACCTCACTATCCAGCCCATGACTAGGGAGTGCACTCTCCTATTGCTCCTTGACTTCTTTTGGGATTTCCTTCACCGTCTCAACTAATCCCACTGGTTTAGCCTCTTTCACTGCATCCTTTTTCCCATCCTTCAACAACCAGCACTGCAACTTTGTGTCCCCCTCTATTACAGTGGAAATGCCTTTCACCTCTTTATCACCTTCTTGGGTTTCTTTTTTCAAATGTGGTAAACTGTTCCCAGGATGATCTATTTTTTGTTTGTCATTGAAGGATCTCCCTCTTTCCCAATTTATTTCCCTCATAGAATGAAATTGCTGTTGGAAGTTAGATTTCGATTTATGCACTAATGTATATTCACCTGCCAACTCAGCAGCTCTTCTCACTGTTTGGACTTTCTGTTCTACAATATGAGTTCTTATCACCTCTAGAAGTGAGTTTTTAAACTCTTCCAACAGGATAATCCTTCTCAAGATCCTCATATGTCTTTTCGATCTTTAATGCTCTCACCCATCTATCAAAGTTGCTGTGTTTAATTCTTTCAAACTCAACATAATCTGACCTGGTTCCTTCCTTATATTTCTGAACCATTGTCTATATGCTTCTGGTACCAATTTGTGGGCACTCAAACAGCCTGTTTGACATCTTCATAATCTCTTGATACCTCATCTGACAGCGCTGCAAATACCTCACTAGCCCTGCGTGCCAACTTGGTCTGAATTAACATTACCCACACAGTCTCTAGCTAATTCATCTGCCTAGCCAGTTTCTCAGAGGAAATGAATAAGGCTTCTAAATCTTTTTCATTGAATTTTAGTCATGTTTTGACATATCCCTACCATGTCTTTGGCTACGATGGGTTTGCTCATCACCACTCTCCTCCTCACTAAACCTAACTTCTACCTTAATAAAAACCGAAAGAACTGCGGATGCTGTAAATCAGGAACAAAAACAAAGTTGCTGGAAAAGCTCAGCAGGTCTGGCAGCATCTGTGGAAGAGAAAACAGAGTTAACGTTTCGGGTCCGGTGACCCTTCCTCAGTTCTGAGGAAGGG